ATAGAGCGAGTTCTATAATATATATTCCTCCGCAGAATTAATAAAAAATCCTTACCGCAACAATTGCAAAACCCAAGCAGCAGATAATCAAAGTATCCGATACGAATAATACCAACGCGATATACGAGTATAGATCTTCGATATGTTCTGAAAAGATGATAACTTTCTGATGTTTTTTGATTATTTCTTTTACCACAGAACGACTCGGACCGCACTTTCCTTTCTTTAGAAAAATTTCCGTCACACTCTTACGAAGAATATCGATTTGACCGCTTATGTGCAATATCTAAAATATACGTTTCTTTCAACTGCCATATGTAAGAGAGGTCGAAAGTAAAAACATTAAATACCTAAATTAAATTTATGATGTACAGAATTGTTTAAAATCCGTATAATATCACAATTACCAATATACTATGTTTGATAATGTAGGATATTTGCATATGTATATACATCCCGTCAATCAACTGATATTATACATGGTTAATTAGATATCACAAAATTCAGTTTTATAAGTAATACATATAAATAATAAATAATACTTAAAATAACAATTATATGAATAACATTTTGTGTAACAGGATAGTTACCAGATTTATGAGTAGGCAATTTAATAAAGCCAATGCGTTAGCACATATCAGCAAATAAACAAATTGAAAAGTTATGACTGATTCATATACGAATCTCCGATTAGCGTCAAATGGCAAATCCATCTCCAGAATGAGTAATCGTGTGGAATCGTTGAAGTTTATGCCATCATCCGCGTTCTTTATGAAAACGTTGCTGCTAAAAAAAATTATAGACGTCGAATAAAGAATCACCGTTATGTTAGCGAAGCGGTGCGACAGTTTGACATTGCTGGTCGTCGCGAACATACTGAATTTCGTTTTGGAACATTTTTCCCAGTCGATCGCCATCATCGTTAATATCTTGTTGAACGTTCTACGAACGGTTTTTATTAATCATAATCGTGATAACGGCCGCAACGAAGCGTTATGCGAACCATCGGTGAAAAATTTCATGTTGTGCATTGACTTTACTCACGCGAGTCCGCTTATTTCCGATTTGTGTTTAATACATAATTTATTTACAGCAATTTGTCCTTAATTTAAGTTTATTATATTGTTCACATTTGCAATTGCCAAATTTATTTTATCGATTAAAGCATTTATCAAATAATTTATTTTATTCGTTAAAATAATTGTTGAATCGATGTAATACCAAATTTGTGCAACAAACTTAATGTTGTTAAATAATATAATTAAATATAATTAAATAAATAATAATTTAAAGCTATTTTTTTTCACTGATAGTGCAATATTACTACCTATGTGCCGTTTTGTATCTCACCGCTGTTTATACCAAAAAATAACGAGTTTACATAATAATATCGTGTACGCCATTGTTGTGCTCAAAGTGTTCATCATCTCAGAAAGCTCAATTAAATTGAAATGCATTACGATATATCGATATTGAAAGGCTTGCTCGATTAAGACCGTAACAGTCCAGAACACTCTACGTAATAAAACGCACGATGTATTCGGCCAGATGCCAAAAATTCGTAGACAAATTTCTATCGCTTTGCTAACTGTATTCTCCACTTTCATATTTCACTTATTATTATTTT